AGCGATATGGTTCATGGGGTCATGAAGAGTCAGACATGACTTAACGACTGAACAACTACAACAACTAGGTAAATGTATACTTCATTGCGTATCTGATTAATTTTACTATGCAGGTCATTTTGGGGCCTGTGAAGGGTCCTTTGAAGCGCCAAATGGATTCAGCTGGGTTACAAGCTGGAGCTGCGCAGCTGAATTCAATCCCAGAGTATTTCATTTGGGTAATACATTCATAACCTCACTTGCTCTGAAGCACATTTTTTAAATCGAATCTATAAGTTTGTAGCAGTACTACAAATTAAGAAAATGATCAACTCCCAGCTAAGTGAGAAATGAAGAACTATAAATTCTGATTACAACATTAAACTTCTTTTAATGTGCAAACTAGAAAAAAATAAAGCTTTAATAAAAAATTTACAAAAAACAATTTTTTTCTCTTAAAAAAATCTAACATTTACATGTGCAGCTATAACCATTGCAAAATTCCAAACATGCAGTTTTGGTATATCAACAGTGTTAAAGGGATTAAAACTGGTAGTGTTAGAAGACCCTGAAATACTTATGTTTGACAGGAATTTACAAACAGGCAGATGATGAAATTAGAAAACCCCGACTTAGAGCATACCCAGTTGGATTTTTGTCCCATTTCCAAACACAAGATTCCTCAGTTCTTACCCAAATCACTTTTTAAAGTCAGCATTTCAAAAGTTTGCCATGTACTACTGAGAACTACTGTCTGACATATACAAACCACAAATTTCCTTGGAAACAAGGCCAATTTCTCCAACAGGCGTAATTCAGATGAGTTAAACCAAATTCCCAGTATCTCTGACAAGGATATCTGCTAAGCCAGGTAGTTCTTTAGCTTTTATCTCGACTCTGGTGATTATTTTTGGAAAATAATTTTACTTTTAGGGAAACAAAAGTCCTAGGAGGAAAAGCTCTAATATAAAAGTTCCAATGAACCACATGTGAATGTTACCATCTCTTATTGAGGCACTGTTAAAAAAAAGGAACACACAAAAAATTGACAAATCAACAGAACAGTTCACATCTGTATCACAGTTTCAAATACATTGTTTTCAAGATCGCCACGAAAGAGGCACTGGATTGAAGGCCTTTAAGGTGACATTCCATTACACATTACCTAAAAGGTTGTCCCAAACTTCCAAAAATCTGTTACATCATTAATTAGCTAAGATAAGACTGGACAGCATCCATCCATGTGATTTTCATGCACGAGCAAATAAAGACACTTTTGCACTGTATTAAGAACATGACTGATCATCCTGAAAGTGAGGTTTACTTTTTCACTGTTTAGGGTGTTTGCAAAATTGGGCATATTGATATTTGTGAAAGAAATTTTGTATCCAGTTTTAGAGCCTCAACTACTCTGTCATCTGAGAAGTTTGATTAAGTAGATGCTCTTCAACTGAGTGTGCAAAACATTTTGAGATTGAACTGTTCCAACCTTGCCATGTTCCATTCTGACATGGGAGCATCTGTTCTGAGAATACAGGAGGTGGTCCAATCTTGAAGCCCATTTAAAGATCAGATAGCATCCAGTATGCTCAGATATCAGAGTGTATTGATCTTGAAGTGTTTTGCACATTTCTACAGTCAATCACATTCTGACTTCTGGGAGGGGCATGGCTGAATTTCTATTAGCTTTGGCTGGGTGATTGTCAAACTTTGGACTGTGGTATTAAGAAGAAAATGTTTCCTATTATCACTGAAGGTTAGAACTTTGTTGCTCTTCCCCCCCTCCCTCTGCTGGATGATTTTAGAAATTAACAAAGAACAAAACATAAAATATATGAATGAACTGAGCTGCTGAAGGCATTTTTTGCTTTGATCAATATTCAGGGTAACTGCCTTGTTATCAGAAGGTGGTTCTGGCTTCTAGAAGATTCCAGGGCACAGAAAAATTCCCTGATTTAGAGTTATTTCCTAAAAACTTCTTTGCACATTCAAGTCAGCTACACTGTTTCTCCCTAGGATTCAAGTCAGTTAAAGGATTCTCCTGTGTCTTGTTCTGTCTGCTCCACGCCATACTGCAGTTCCAAACTGCCTGTGCATTCACAACACCCAGCCTTTCGCTCTTGGCTCCCCTGCCCTGAATTCCGCTTTGCATTTTTCCCACACAGTGAACAACGGCTTGATTCTTCTCGCACATGGGTTCTCATGTGGTTCACCAGGTTGAATTTGTGCAAGAATCTTTTCCCACATTCGGTACACTGATGGGGCTTGACTCCTGTGTGTACTCTCCGGTGTCTGGTGAGGGTGGATTTACGAGAGAAGTTCTTCCCGCATTCGGGGCAAGGGAAAAGCGCTTCTTGCTTGTGCAAGGGCTGTTTTTTCAAGGCTAGCTGACTGTTGGGTGTCTGGTGAGCAAATGGAGCTGCTTGCAAATTGGGAAGAAGTCGATTCCTCTGCCTTTTTGTGCTTTCCTGTAACAGAAACTCTTCCTCATTTTTAGTCTGTATTTCATCACCTGCTGGATTAAAAAAAAAACTATTATTATTTATGCAAGTATACATTGGAAAGTGTTTCGTAATCTTCACTTTTGCAAGAAGACAAACACTTTATTTATCTAGTTACAGGCTGATTTAATTTTTTTCTGCAGCCATTCTAATTCCACAACAACTTTGTAAAATAAGATAGGATATGACAGAGTAGGACACCACATGACCTTTATGGCTGAATTGAGATTTGAACTTGGATCTTCCTAGTCCTAGTGTGACTCTCTGGCCCAATTTGGTCCCTTCAGATATGTTACTTTTCAACTCCCATAATCCCTAACTAAATGACTAGGATTATCAGAGTTGATCCTAGATATCTTGAGTCTCCAAAATCCTTACCTACTGAGGAGGGATTCTCATTCAGCTCCTCCTTGGTTTCTCTGCAAAGCGCCATCTGCCTAGTATCTGACAGCACTTGCTCACTTTCTGGCAAATTCACAGATTCCTCAAGCATATATGGTCCCAGGACCTGAAACAGCAGTTAGACACCATTCAAGGCAAAGGAATACAGCAAATCTAAAAAGCAGTAAGGATTTAGCTTCAGCTCCGTGCAATAATTTTCATGGATGGTTTCAGAAATCACTTTCATTATACTTTAAAGAATAGCTGAATACAAACAAAAGAAATATCTTTTTAACTTTTAAAACAAACATAGCATTAATCTTTTGATACAGGTCACGATTTTGACATTAGGGATGTTATCAAATAAACACCTGCATGTGAAATAGATGGTGAAATGGTCTGTGGGGACTTGACAATTTCTATTACGCACATCTGAATTGAGTCACACTTTGGGCTCCTTATAAATCTGTATTTAAAAATAATACACAAAGGAGCAAGTTTTTCCTTTTATGGGAGTAGGGGACTGCCAAATAAAATCGTAGAAGCTAAAAAGAGGGGATGCTTCAGCCACTACCAGCTCCCTGAAGGTAGGATTTTATCATTTCTGGATACCATCGTAAGCGTAGGGCAGAAGCTGGTGCTTTTAAAATTGATTTAAAACTCTAATTGCATGTTAGATCATAAGCTCCCAGTTATCATGCTGGAAAGTGCTCACCTGCTGATCCCATCTCTCATTGTCTTGCTGTTTCAGAAGAAAATGCTCTGCCAAGGTTACTGCCTGAATACAGGTCTTTGGGCGATATTCCTGAACCCACTCCTGCATGTCCTCAGGCAGGATGGTCAGAAACTGCTCTAGGATCAACAGTTCCACAATCTGTTCCTTGGTGCGGCTCTCTGGCTCCAGCCAGCGATGGCAGAGCCCCCGCAGCCGAGAACAGACTTCACGGGGCCCTTCAGCCTCTTGGTAACGGAAATGCCTGAAATGCTGCCTCTGCCTCTCTAGGCTGACAGCATCTTCTCGTAAAATTGCAGCCTTCACTTTCCCATAGTCCCCACTTTCTCTGGGATCCAAACTATTGTAGGCCTGGAGGGCAGCTCCATTGAGGGCTGGCACAAGCCGGGTCACCCACTGTTCCCGTGGCCATTTGCAGGCCTCAGCCACATCCTCAAAAGTAGTCAAGTAGGTCTCAATGTCTTCTGTCAAGGTGAGTTCTGGTACTTGCAGATTCCTCCACGCAGGTGATTGGACTGGTGTAAGATCTGGAGTCGGCAATTCCTGCCCTTGGATTTCCCAGCGCTGGGGTGCCTCTAGTTGTTCGCTTCTGGTTTGCTGTGGTGTTACTAGCCTGAGACCTCCTCCTCCTGTTCCTACCTGTACAATACGATACGTTTTTACAAAACCTTCTGACATTCCTAACGAATCAGAGCCTGCTGGGTCTGGTTCTTTTTCCATTTTCACCAACGGTTGTACTCGTTGTTCCAGTGGTGTCTGACACTGGAAGTACTGGGCCACCATGTTCCGTTTTGCTGCTATTTTTCTCCTCATTCTTTGTTTGGCTTTGGAGATTATGTAGGCTTCTGCTGAAGCTTCCAGTAACTGGGTTGCCAACTGGAGAGGCTATCAAGTGGAGAAATTCCTTAAGTGGTTTGGATCTCAAACTGGAGGGGTAGATAATGACACAACAAACAGGAAAAATGAACAGAGTTTTTTATTTTTAAAAATCAGTTACAATAGGACTACCTATTTTAATATATTAATTGTTGACCCCAATCCATAAAGATCTTACACACTACCAACACAAATCAGACATGACTGGGCCAATACAATCTATAGCTATAGCAAACGCTAAAAAAACCCTCTGGCTATGATTACAGAGGTAGGCTACAAAAGGGTACATAAAGCTAGTATTTGAAAAATAAGTAATACATTACAAATATCTTTTGCTCTTTCTGAATGACCAAGCTGCATTAAAAATTCTTTAAATTAATTACTAGTAAAAAGACTGTTATAGGACTTTTCTCCCAGTTTATCCAAACTACAGGAAATTATACTTATAAAAGTAATGTGCTCAGTTATTAAAACTGCAATCCTTTGTATATTTATTTGAATTCAGTAGCATAATTAAAGCTGCATCAAATATATTGTTCTTCTGGAAATATACATGATGAGGTTCATAGTTTTCTCCAGATTATAAACTTTGCAAAACCTTTCTTTGACAAGCACCTTAAAATGCTTCAATTTGCAACAATCTGGTCATACTTCCAATGTTGTAACATATATGAACTCAACTTTCCCCTTTAAATGATGTTCCCATATTATTAAATGTAAAACTTTCTATGTTATGGTGTTTTAAGAACTAAACTAAGCATGACATGGAAGACATGTGATTCATCTACCAATATTAAAGAGAAAGAGGAAAGACAGGGAAGAGCAAAGTCTAAATTTGACTGTAATAAAGGAGCAGAAAGGAATGATTTAAACTATTATTATTTCATAGATTACTTTCAGAAGTTTTATAATGCATGGTTGGAGGCTAGCTCATTTGAAATTGATCAACTGATTTATGTTAAAGGCTCTTTGTTGCACCAGACCATGGGCTGGAAACCTTGCATTCTCCAGATGTTTTGGCCTAGACCTTTCTAAAATTCATTACCATAAGGTATGATGATGGACAATACCTTGAATGGTTTTAAAGGGGGATTGGATAAATTCACAGAGAACAGGTCTATCATCTAGAGAACTCAGTGTTGTCCAGGGCAGCATGACTCCAAATACCAATTGCAGGAGAACAACAATGAGAGAAGGGTATGCCTCCATCCTGTGCTCCTGAGCATCACTGAGCCATGTAGTTGGCCAGTGTGGGGGGGAAAAAAATGCTGGACTAAGATGGGTCCTGGTCTTATCCAAAGGGGTTGTTCTTAGTTCAGTACTACTTAGTTATTTTGTCTGAGGTTGATGGAAATGATGAAAATTAAAATCCAAAAACATTTGGAAGCATTTTACATACTCAACACCAGATAGCATGAAATACAAACTTCCAAATTTTTCCATCTGCATGTAAAGAAATCTTTTAGTTCTTCAGCAGATGCTGCATTAAATCAGATTTTGCTATCTAGGCTTGCTGGAAATTTTTAATACTGTGTAGAGAGGCCTAAGGGAAACAGCCAAAAGTAACAGAAGATTAAAGTCCTGCTCTGTTAAATATATAAAAAGGAAACTTTTGCAGTGTTTCTGGTTTTGTGTTAAGATACCTATGGTTCTTCTATACAATTTCAATGTATGGAGCCTCTTATGGACTAGCAGTGAGGTAAATATCTCCTGGAATTGCCAACACTATAGAGATTCAGGGATGACACTGAGAGCAGTTGGTTCTAGCCACCATTTTAATACTCTACGTACAATTTTCCCCAGATTATCTTTGAGATCCAGAGAGATCTTGGCTACTTCAAACATTTACGGTCTCCAACAATAATAAAAATTAAAAAATGAAGCCACATGAAAAAAAGTTGACTGCTACATGTGAGACAGAAAGAATATTTTTTTAAAGAAGCAAATGTCTAACTCTGAGCTACCTTTAAGCCTGAGGCCCAAGCCAAATAACCTTCCTTACCCACCCCTGCCCCCAAGTTGGGCCTGATTGACCAAATCTGGGACATTGTAGGATATTATAAAATAGTTTGAACTAAACTTCTGACCAGAGAAATACTGCCAGCAAGGGCTAACCAAAGAATGAGGGAACTTTCTAGAAGGCATTTTTCCAGCCTTCCCCGTCCAGATTCCATACTTTTTCTAAATAAAAGGAGATAGCAGAAATACAAGTTCACCCTCATATTTACTCCAAACAGAAACACAGAGACAAAAACTTGTCTTTGCCTGAATTCTACTGGCTGAATGATGCGTCGGGCATTGAGCTGAGAAACACCAAAACTTTTTCAGCATGTACCAAAAACTGCACAGGACTGACCAGCTGTTTTCAGTATGCTAATTCAGTGGTGTGAAATCACTGTGGAATTAACTATTTTAAAATCTAACAATAAAAAAATAAAAGGTATAAATTCATTCAACATATATAATGCAATCAATCATGCTTACAGTAAAGGAAAACAATAGCATGCTTTAGCTACCTCCATAAAAAAAATGTGGCAGCTTTATCTGTTATCCTGAGGTCACTGTTTAAAAAGGACAAAAAGAGGATCTTTTGGAGGTGGCATTTTTAAAGTATCAGCCAGATATACTCCTTTTATAATCTGTAACAAATGGAAGGAAGTTCTATGTTCAGAGTGATCAGTAAGAGAGAACCAAGAATTATGTTAAATCTCAATTTACAGATCATAAATAGCATCAGTAGAAATTTAACAAAGATGAAGTGTCTTTTCATGTCAAATTAACCAATTCTGTACAGATACTCCTCCCAAACTTGGCTTATGGTGGAGAAGATAAGACTACTAGGCAAACTTTCCCACCATACTACAAGAAAACTCTAAGCATACAATGCTGGTCAAAAGCAAATTTAGGATTTAGGACCTTAGTCTTTGCTATCAGCGGGCACAGGATTGTACTCCAGTTGAATGAATACATCCATCTTTCCAAATATGTGGCCTTCCAAACTTCACGTTTGGCCTTCCAAACTTGTTGGCTGGGGAATGAAGGGATCAAAATGAAGGCTGGAATACATCAGAGTCTAAGTAACTCTTAAAGTATCCAAATTTCTTTAATAGGGACTTTAGACCACCATTCCAATATCTAATCCTCTGCAAATAAATGTTTTGTTCCAAAGAGCAATTTTACTAACTGATAATGAGGCATACTTAAGATATTCATACAATAGTTAAAAGATTTCTAGTAAAGTTTCAAAGAGAAAGAATATTTTCAAGTGCAAGTACAATGCCAGAATACATTGGGAAGTGGGGGGGGGGGGGAAGGGGGGGAGAGTTAATAAAATTTTACAAGTTTTGAGTCTTCTACTCATCCATCCTTGCCAACCAAGAACTGCAGATTCAGTCTGGCATGTGTCTGCTTGCCCACTCCAAATGCTTTATCTGAAGTCAAGTTTTTTTTTAAGTTTCAGATCTCCAATAGACTTAGTTGCCTCCTGCTTCTGCAGCGCTCACTTTCTAGAACCTGATATCCATGAATCCCACCCCCCACGCCAGAGCATGCTCAGATTAACAGAGTTGTGCAACTGACTAGGCCTCATTGCACCCATGTGGTCTCTCAACCCATTTTAGATTTCCCACAAACAGTGGAAAACTGTTAGTATGCATGCCATTGGTGTGCTTGCAAACAAAAGCCCAGCTCATAACAGAGCATTAACTTCACAAAAGCAAGCCATCAGCTAGCCAGACTGCCTGACTCCTCCTTTTTCCAGAGGTCTGCCCAATAAACATCTTTACAAATACATGCACACCATTTCTCTATGATGCACCATTCTATAGCCACAGGACGTAGCACCTCCACTTCTGAAAAATGTATAAGCTTGCAGTTGGGTCAGCCTTTAAAAAAAATCTGTATCCTGTAATAATGGGTTAAGGAACATTATCAATAACTTTAACAGAATACAAATTTAGTGTTCCAAGAAGGAGAAAAAGGACTGAAATTATCCAATGGAACTATTCTCAGTAGGAAAATAGGAAAAGCATTACCAGTTGATTTCAGGCTGTCATGCAGATTTGAAATGTCTGTTGACAAGAAGTTTTGCCTTCACTGGAATTTATTTGCTAATATAGTAAAAGCTTTTAGGAGTGATGTTTATCTGAAGGTAACATTAAAAACATTATTATAGCCATTCACAGGCCATGGTTAACTGACCTATAATTAACACAATCCAATTTTCTGGGTACACATATCAAGCTGACCACACTGGTTGATTTCACACAACATACTAGGATAAAATGTGGTGGACTAATTACTGTGCAAAACACAGCTGTTAACAGACTGTCCAGATGACTCAAACAAATGAAGTCAAATTACTTGCCCAAGGACAGGTTTAGATTGCAATGATAGAGCAAATTAAGGTAAAGGCCCCTTTGAGCAGAACTGATTCTGGGGAAATTGGTGGATACATCCATAAAGTTTCCTTGGCAACAGTACAGAAGTGGTTCATCATTGCCTTCTGGGATATTTTCTTAAATAAATTCCCTCAACATTAGATTATGGCCTGTTAGAACACATATATGCCAAGCTACCCTAATCTGATTTAGATTTAAAACAATTAGATAAAAAAGACACCAGGACAGCTATCCTTTGGGGTGGAATGGAATCCGTGCGTGTGTATGAGTCTTGGGATGGGGTGGTATATAAATCTGGCTAATAAATGCATATTTTCTGTTGATGTACTAAAGCCCCAACCCTAGATGCACTTACTCAAGGATACATCCTATTGAAACAACGAGGATTACATCTATGTAGGCACTAGATAGAGTCTGCACTTGGTAAATACGAATCCAATTAATCTGGAATTCAAAAAGTTGTTTTATCAACAGCCCCCCTGGGTCCACCGGCCCTTTAATTCCACTTATTTTACTTCTGCACTTCCATCCTAAACCTGCGTATAGTATTGAGGAGCAAGGGTCGCTGCGTTCAATGAAGTTTACTCCCGGCAAAATAATGCAGGGTTCGATGTCTAAGAGCCGGACTGAAGCTGCGATCTGGGAAGAGTATTATCGGCTCCGCCCATTGATTATTAAGAGGAAGATTTAAAAAACAAACAACAACCAACCCGAAACAGACTGCTGAACAGTATTTCTGATCACTCCTGCCCTAAGGTCCCCCTTTTCCCAATGTTAACAACTCTGGCAAGGTCCTTCTCCCAACTTATCTTCCAAGCCAACAGTGGACTTTTGAGACTAGCACACATTTACCATGTCAGCAGAGTAGTTAGACCCCTCCCCAGTTTTCTTCTTCCATTCCTTTCCCAGCCAGTTTGCAGGTTGCACAGAACCCTTCATCAGGCAGAGGTCTCTGGCCTAAGGCGAGCAGCGGCCAGGTCCCTTGACCCAGCCCGACACCTATGGCGTTACAGCTGATGGAGCAGCTCCAGAGGGGAGAACTATACCTTTGTCGAGCCCTGGCTGAAATTAAGTTCTGCCCAGCAGCGTGCATTAAACACCAGTCCCAGCAAGACTCGCGACCATGGTTTAAATAAGGAATCCTGGTAATGCAACTTTGGCCAAGGATGCCGCAGATTATTTTCCTTGAGCTTCTGCCGGCGGATAATTTCCAAATTAAAAAAAAAAAAAAAAAAGGTGCCGGGGCTCAAAGCTGCCCGGAAGCCACTTCCCCCTGGCCCGGGTAGTCCTTCCCCTTTGGCATCCCAAAAAAATAGAAATAGAGCGCGGGGGTGCCATGCCGGGGGGAG